GTGAACATAATTAGGAGATTTCCAATCACTTCATCCATAGGCTCCAACTTTCTTGAATTCACGCATGTTCATTCATTCAGTACATGCTCACTGAGCACCTGCTATGTGCCGTGTGCCCCCCTGGGTGCCGGGGGCAAGACTGTGGAGAATGGAGGCCCTGCCGTCCTGCACAGGGCTACCCTCCATGGTCACAGAGTTTGCCACGCAGTTGACTTACTCCTGGACTTTTCAACCTCTGCTTCGGTCAGAGGGCATCACTCCTCTCTCTTCCCCGCCTCGTCAGCCAGCACGGGTGCCAGGGTGAAGTTCTGGGCTGCGTGGACCACGTTGACGCAGAGGACTCACTTCTTGGGCATGGGGACACCTACCCATGAACCCTCATTAGGGAAGATCCGGGCCCACTTTAGAGTTTCCTTTGCTCTTAGTTTCTTCAGGGTTCTGAAAACCCTCTGTAACATGGATTCAGATCAGCAGGGTTCAGGGTCTCTGCTATGCTCCCCATATGGCAAGACTGCCAGTGACGCCCCCGCCCTGTGTGTGCGGCCGGCCCGGGGCTTTAGGTCCGCTGGCCTTGGCTGTGCTTGGGGCAACCGAGCCGCCGCAGGCTGGGGGAGGGCTGTGCCCACCGCAGGGAGGCCTCGCACACCAGGCCCTGCCAGTGGAAGTGCTGTCCCACCCCAGCCTGGCCTCAAGCACGCATTTAGTTCAAAAGTGGGATGGTAACCACGTGAGAACAGGCACAGGAAAGTGTATTTTAAAACCCAGGAATCCATGATCCAAAATGAACGGGGCCATACTCGCTCCCAGTCTTTCTGTCAAGAAACAAACTGTTGATTTGGTCCCGGGCAGGCTCCTCGAGGAGCCCACACGCCACGTGAGGCCAGGCTGCACAACTGGAGCCTCAGGGCAGTGCTCCCCCCGGCTGCTCCCGCAACCGGCTTTCCAGACATCTCCGCGTGGGCTCCCAGGGCTCATCCCACGATTGGCACTATTGTGCTTGCAGCATGGGAGCCACGGGAGCCCTCACCTGAGCCACCCCAGCTCCGGGGAGGGACGGCGGGCGGGTCTGGGCCGCACGCACTCTCCTGCGGGGCAGCGGGCATCCGGCCTTCTTCAGGCCCGGCCTGGGCCGCCCCAGGGCTCTCTCGCCCAAGGGGCGCCGCCTCCCTGCAAATCTCGGCCAACACACTGGCCCCTCGCATCTTCATCAATTTCATTTATTTCCCTGGTATCAAGTATCTTTTCGTTTTCTTTCTGGCTCCCTTTCTGTAAGAGGCCTGTGCATCTTGGGGACCACCTGCCTCTCTTGCAGGCATGTGTGTGCGCGCTGTGTATGCATGCGTGTCATGTGTGATGTGTGCGCCCACGGTCCGCTTGCTGTCCACTGTCAGGTGCCCCTCTGAGCCTCACGCCAGTCTTTTGTCTGGGGGCAGGTGTCACGACATGGATGGACTCGGGGCTTCCTCGTGGTCATGCTGCTTCCTATGCAACCTGCTGGCCCCGGCTGCCCAGGGCGTCCGTCCAGCCCAGTCTGGCCCCGAGCCCTGCAGGGCTAGCTTGGCCTCACTCAGCCTCTCTCCTGTCCCTTCGGCCTCCAGCCCTACTTCCCCGCCCACCATTCATCTGAGTCGCTGGACTGTGTCCTCAGTTAACTCCCCGGGGCCAGCCCATTTACCAGCCCTTCCTCCTGGGCAGGGACAGACTCCAGGAAGCTCCACCTCTGGGCCTGGGGGAGATTCTTTGGCTTCCCCCAGCTCCCTGCAGACTGCTAGGCTACATTATGCACCATCAGATGACCTCTTGCTCCTTTACTTTCTCCTTTTTAAACTGTGATAAAATGCACGTAACACAAAATCGACCACTTTGACCATTTTTAAGTGTACAGCTCACTGGCATAAGCACATCCAAACTACTGTGCAACCATCACCAACATGTCCAGGACTTTCCATCTCCCCAAACCAAGACTCTGTCCCCATGAAACACTCACTCCCACCCCTCCCCCAGCCCCCACCCCACTTTCTTTCTCTGAGTCTGACCCCTCAAGGGACCCCGTGAGTGGGCCCTACTGTGTCTGTCCTTCTGTGTTCCACTTATCTAGCTCAGCATCATGTCCTCAGGGCCCACCCGTGTGGTGTCGTGTGTCACAATGTCTTTCCTTTTGAGGGCCAAGTTATGCTCCGCTCTGTTTTTACCACCTCCGTCTGTCCAAAGACACTTGGGTTGCTTCTAGGTTTTGGTTATTCTCCACTGCATGCCCCCTGGGAACATGGATATACAAGTATCTGTTCCTCTGCCTTGGATTTTTTTCAGCTATTCACCCAGGATTGGAATTGCTGGATTGCACCATACTTCTATGCGCCACTTTCTGAGGAAACTCCATTGACTGCATCATTTCACACTCCCTCCAGCAGGGCACGAGGACTCCAGTTTGTCCACACTCTTGCCAGCACTTGTTCTTTTTAAAAATTTATTATAGCCATCCTAACAAGACTGAGGTGGTGTCTCGCTGCAGTTGTGATTTGCGTTGCCCTGGGACTAATGATGTTGAGCATTTCTTTGTGTGCTTGCTGACCATTTATGCATCCTTAGAGAAGTGTCTATTCAAGCCCTTTGGCCATTTTTGAGTCGAATTCTTGGTTTTTTGTTGTTGCTGGGTTTTAGGAGTTCTTTAACTTATATGCAGAGTACATCATGCAAAATGCCGGGCTAGGTGAATCACAAGCTGGAATCAAGATTGCCAGGAAAAGTATTAACCTCAGATATGCAGATGATACCACTCTAATAGCAGAAAGTGAAGAGGAACTAGAGTCTCTTGATGAGGGTGAAAGAGGAGTTAAAAAGCTGGCCTGAAATTCAACATTTAAAAAACTAAGATCGTGGCATCTGATTCCATCACGTCATGGCAAATGGAAGGGGAAAAAGTGGAAGCAGTGACAGATTTTATTTTCTTGGGCTCCAAAACCAGTGTGGACGGTGACCACAGCCAGGAAATTCAAAGATGCTTGCTCCTTGGAAGGAAATCTATGACCAACTTAGATAATGTATTACAAAGCAGAGACATCACTATGCTGACAAAGATGCAGACAGTCAAAGCTATGGTTTTTCCAGTAGTCATGCACAGATTTAAGAGCTGGTCCATAAAGAAGGCTGACCACCAAAGAACTGATGCTTTTGAAATATGGTGCTGGAGAAGACTGAGAGTCCCCTGATGCTGGAAAAGACTAAGGGCATGAGGAGAAGAGGGCAAGAGAGGATGAGATGGTTGGATGGCATCATCGACTCAGTGGACATGAATCTGAGCAAACTCCAGGAGATCTAATAGAGGACAGAGGAGCCTGGTGTGCTGCAGTCCATGGGGTCGCAAAGAGTCAGACACACTGGGCAACCAACACTCCATGGCCATAGGGGGATGTACCCAGGGTTTCTTCTACCACTTAAAAAATATATATATTTTTATTTATTTGGCTGCGCAGGGTCTCAGTTGCAGCATGTGGGATCTGGTTCCCTGACCAGGGATCAAACCCGGGCCCCCTGCATTGGGAGCACGGAGTCTTAGCCACTGGACCACCAGGGAAGTCCCTAGCACTTTTATGATTTTATTTTTCTACATTTAAAACTTTGACACCTTCATCCTGGTATTCAGTGAGAGAGATGATTACAAGTTACCTTCTTCTAGACAGCTACACACTGTCTCAACATTTACCAAAGTCCATGGGATTCCCTGGCGGTCCAGTGGTTAACACACCATGGTTCCACTGCAGGGGGCGCCAGTCCCACCCCAGGTCAGGGGACTAAGACCCTGCACCCCGCCCCCACTCCCCCCCCCCACACACACACACACACGGGCCTGATATCCCAGGTCAGGGGACTGAGACCCTGCACCCCGCCCCCACTCCCCCCCCCCCCCCCACACACACGGGCCTGAGATCCCAGGTCAGGGGACTGAGACCCTGCACCCCGCCCCCACTCCCCCACACACGGGCCTGAGATCCCAGGTCAGGGGACTGAGACCCTGCACCCCGCCCCCACTCCCTTACGCAAGCCTCTGAGACACCGCCTTCAGTTTACACTCAGTGTCAGTCCCACCCCAGGTCCGGGGACTGAGCCCCCCCGCCCCAGGTCCGGGGACTGAGGGCCCCCCCACCCACTCCAGACAGAAGCCCCGCCCAGGCCCCTCCCAAGGAGCCCTCAACATGCTTGTGTGTTTACATCTGGGATGGCCTGTCCTGAGAGGCTGGCCTCATGGAAGCTAAGCGGTGGCTGGCTTCGGGCGGGGGCGCAGCTGGTAGGGCACCCAGAGCCCGCTTCCCTCCTCCACTGCCTTTCCACAGAAACTGGGGACCTTGCAGACATTCCCGCAGACGGGTCCAAGCACACAGCTGCACGAGCTCCACTGGGCCTGGCCTGCCTCAGCCCGGCTCCATCAGACCTGGCTTTGACCTGGACGCACAGGCAACTGTCCAGAACTTCTGGGGGCCTGGCTTCCTTTGCTTAGGAAGCTGCCCCGGGGCCAGGGGAGCTGTGGCCCGTGCACGCAGGGCTGAATGGTGACCGGACAGAGGTCCACTCGGCCGGCTGGGGTGAGACGGTGGTTCCTCAACACTGGAGCCAGCCCCAAGCAGGGCCTCCAGCAACGTTTCAGTCGTGACTTTGGTTGACAGGTCCCCTGCTGACCGCCCACCTACCTGGTCAGTAGAACACCATCCCAGCTGTGCGCAGAGCCTCCCCGACCAGGTGCCCTCCACCTGGCGGCACCTGGGGTTGGGGTGGCCGGCAGAGGTGGACTGCCCATAGCTGTGGGAGGTTGGAAGGGGCGCGCCCACCTTGATACCCACCCCGGGCTCTGGGGGAGAGAATGCTGACACTCTGCGTGGCCCCCAGTCCAGCACCTGCTTGTTATCAGATGCCCTCTGGCCCTCCCCCAGCTTCAGAGGCACCCCCTCCATCCACACTCCCCTGCCAGGACCCGGGTTTCGAGAGAGGAGCCCCCTCTAGCTTACCCAGTCCTGAGTCTGTGGCTCCTGCTGACTGCTGCTCTGGGCACCTGGCAAGCCCCAGGCCATCAATGGGCTTGGTGGCTCCGAGGGCTGCCTCTTCTCCTGGGAAGGCTGCAACTCTGCTTTCTTCCTCAGGAAAGCCTTAAGCGAACACTCCCTGCTGTCCATATGCAGCCCCCTGGGCAGCTGGCTGGCACCTCTGGGACGAAGTCCCCACAGCTACCTGGGCCCCTCAGGCAGAGGAAGGTCACATGAGGGTCTGCTGGGCTCAGCTTCCAGCCATTGACCAGACAATGCTGGGTGGGCCTCAGCCGCTGAGCCCCAAAAGGGTCCATCCCCTTGGGTGTCCTGGGTCCCCCTGCTCCTGCATCCATTTTTCTCCACATGGTCACCCCAGGCCAGGGTAGCTGCAGCCACCGCCCTGCCCCCCTCAGACTCCCCCAGGAACGCCCCCTCTCCCACCGTGGCTCCAGCTCCTCGGATGCGCAGCTTCCTGGGACTCTGCCTGCGCGCAGGACGACCAGGGGAAAAAGAAGGGGCCTCCCGCAGTTCTCCCCGCCTGGCTCTTCCAGACCCCTGTGACCTCACCTCGACGCCCGGCCACACCCCAGGGCCAGGATCCGTGCCCTTCACCGGCACGACCACGTGTGAAGGAGCCGCAGCAGACGGCAGCCCGCCCGTCCCCACTCCGCGAAGGGGTGGAGTGCAGGGGTCAGGGGGCAGGTCAGGGGGTCAAGGGGAGGGAGTCGTGGAGTGCAGCGGCCGTCGGGGAGGCGCGGGCCACACCGGGGGCAGGAAGACGGGGAGAAGTGGGGTACACAAATGGCGGGGTACACAAACTGTGGGGAGGGGCGGGGGATGGCTGGGCGCCCCGGGTACAGCAGGGGTACGCGGGGGAGGGGAAGAGAGGAGGAGGGGGCGGGCACACTGGGGCGGGGCGGGCCCGGCCCATTGTGGCGGGCGGGTCGGAGGGTGGGGCCCACAGCGGTTCCAGAATGCCCTAGAAGGCGGAGCCGAGCCTAAGAAAACTTCCGCTCGACAGCTTCCGCCCGGCCGCTTCCGCTTCCGGCTCGTGGCGCGCCTGCGCCCTGGCCTCAGTCGTCTGGGGCCGCTCGGGTTTCCGTTGTGCACGCGGACGCTGTCCCGCCGCGGCGTCCATGACCCGGAGATTTCATCTCGCGACTGCGAGGAGTCTCGGCCCCGCGTTGCCCGGAGGGGCACGCCTCGGAGATGCCCCCAGCTGTCCGCGCCCCGACCCCCCGGGTCCCCGTGGCGTGTGGGGGCCTCGGAAGGTCCGCCCGCGGTGCCCGCGCCTGGACGGATGGAGGGGCGAGGTTGCTCGAGAGGAATCACACAGCAGGCGAGGGAGGGCCTGGGAGTGCTCCCCGGGTTTATTAGTGTCGCATCAGCACCTTAAAATAGTCCACGTGGTCACATACGTGACAGATTAGAATCTGTTTCCCAAAAACGCTATTTACATTAATCCTGTTTTCCATTAAAAAAAAGAAAGCAACACGTACATCCTAGAAACCAAACAACACACACAGAACTGGACGGGGTCTGCAGGAACGCACAGTGGCACCCCTTGGCCTGCAGGGTCAGACCCCAGGGAAAGGGCCCCCAAGCCCAGCCCCTCAGGCCCCTGCCAGGAACTCAGCTTCCTCTCCACCGCAGGCTAGGAGGGGTCTCTAGTAGGGGATCAGGGGACACGTATAGGGGTCAGGCAACTGGCCTTTGGGAGCAAGCGGCGCAGTCCTGTCATGAGGAACGCGTCCTGGGACGGAGGCCAGGCAGGTCTTGGTATCTGCCAGTAAGGACAGCGCAGCATAGTCGGCCCTGGCTGCTCTAATCCTGCCGCCCCTCTCCTCCCTGAGCTGCGGCCATGACACTCGGGACACTGGCCTGCGAGCCCTGAGGAGACGGTGACCCTGGGGACTTGACACAAGGAGGGAGAAAGCAGTGGCCTGGATACAGGGCTGGAGCTGACCTCCCATCTGGCCTGAGTGAGGGTGGAGCCTGCCCATTATGTGCCACAGGCCCATGAGGCCTTGCCTGAATATGACAAGTGGCTTAGCCTTTGAGTCCTGGTGACCTCTGGTCACCCAGTGGGCTGAGAACCCCTGCTCTGCAAGGGCTGCTCCTGTCCTTGGGGTCATGGTCTGGCCCTGTGTTCTTCACAAGTTGCCCCCACACTGCCCTCCGTGTGCTCACGGCTGCACCTCTGTCACAGGCCGCTTTGGCTTCGGAGTCATCTTCCTTCGGGGGACAAAGTGCTTTTATCTGTGTCCTCAAACAGCTCCATGAGGTAGGCGGGGGAAGTGTTGACTGTCCCCAATCAGGTGATGGGGAAACCGAGGCACTGGCGTGAGCAGAGCCTGGGTCTCTGAGTGAGTCATGGTGGCTGGGGCTGTCTGTATGACCTCCAGGGCCTAGGAACAGTATGGCTGGCCCAGGGTGGAGGTGCTGGGTGTCTTCTCATGGGTATGAGGACAGCTCACAGCTGGGTGGGACGGGGCAGCCCCTTTTGGCCCCTTCCCCTAAAACTAGCTCTGCAGCTGGAAAGCTAAGTCATTTCAGCCACACCTCCCCCGAGTGTGACCTCTGAAAAGGAAATGCAAGGAGCAGTACCCAGGGCCCTGAAGCCAGTGGTGGGAACGAGGGCGGGGGAATTCACGGGTCCCAGGCAGCTGCTGGGCGCAGCCACAGGTGGACACTGCACAAGCTGCCCAAGGGGTCCTTGGCTCAGTGACCTACACCCTCACCCAGATCCTTCCCGTCCAAGGACCCTGGTCCAAGGGCATGCTCAGATCTGTCCGCCTGGTAGGCTCAAGGCTCGGCCATGGCCACTCGGACCCTGAACAGCCATCTGAGGGAGGAGGTAAGCAGGTAGGTCACAGATAAGAAAAATAGACCATCTTCCAGCCCCGAGTGGGACCCTTCCATGCCACGGGCTGTTGGGAGTCCTATCCTCCAACAGAGCGGGAAAGACCTGCAGCCTGTCTGGCGTTTGGCACTGTTTTTCTGAGCGCAGCCTGTGTGGTTTTCAGCCCTAGAAAACTCGACTCGGAGACCCTCGGTGGGCCACCCAGGCCTGCAGCCAGTGGCCAGGTGGAATGGGTGGGCTCTTCCTGTGGAGTCCTGCAGGGCAGGGCTGGGGCCGAGCAGGTCTGGAAGGGACCCCTCCTCAGGTCAGGACACCCACTGCCTGCTGCACAGGGAGGGGGAGGGCAGGGTGCCCCCTCCCTGGGGACCCAGACCCCAAATCCCTTGCCCTGAGGAGCCTAGCCTAGACAAGCGGGGCGCCCAGGCTGCACCCATGGCTCCAACGGGGCTCGGGCCCCTACGATTTGGCCACTTGCCTGAGCCTCACTGGCCACATTAGTGGTGCAGGTGACAGACACCCCTAGTCAGCAAGCGAGACCGGGGTGGGGGCAAGCAGTGGAGCTGAGGAGGCAACTGTGTTCGGGGCAGGACGACTCGGAGAAGCAAAGTGGTGCCTTGGGGCAGCGAAGGGTGCAGGGAGTGGGGGCTGGGACCGGGGCAGCCTCGCTAGCTCTGCCTCAGTCCTCAGGGGCTGCTGGGACTTCAGAAGAGCAACGTCTGTTTGGCAGCTACATTTTAACATGTATTTAAAAGCATTAAAAATATCCGCTACTATAAAACCTCCACTGCCGCCGGCCGCAGTTCATTGGGATCCAGAGTGGGCGGCGCTGGGGCCCTCTCGGCTGGTGGGGGGGGGGGGTGGGCCAGAGCAAGGTTAACTGACCTCTGTGTTCCGCTCAGGATGTCCCTGACAGAAGGCTGGCCCCTGGCCCCTGGCCCCCCAGCTGGCTGCCTGGGCACAGACAGCCTGCGATCCACGGGGCCACCCGCAGGACCCCCGCTCCCTGAGGAAGCAGAGTAGTCCTGGCTTTCAGAAAGGACAGGACACGAAGGCAAGAACCCTTCTTGTTGGGGGGACGGGGTGGGGGTGAGTCCTGAGGCGAAAACACACCTTCCGTGATCCCGCCTGCCCTCCCACCCCCGCCGGGACATTCTGGTTAATAAGCAGAGCAGTTACGGGCTCCCGGTGGGGGCCGCCCCGTTAGTCTCCAGGTTGTGAGCGTGTTCATACTTAAGACTGTTTCTCTGGGGTTTTAAGGGTCTGTCTCTGTGGTAAACTGAAGTGTGAACAGAAAAGCAGCTGGGCCCTCCCGGCCGCGGCCGTCGTGGGGCTGCAGGGCGGGAACTGGCACGGCCCCCCGGCAGGCGGGGCTAGAAGGTGGACTTGGAGTGTCCGAAGATGCAGATAGGGAAGTGCTTGACGTGGGAGGACCACTGGGCCGCCAGCTGGAAGAACTTGACGTCGTTCCACTCCACGCCGTCGATGAGGACTGTGGGGACAAGACCGCCTGACCTGCCTGCCCCCCTCTCCAGGCTGCGGCTGAGAACAAGGCTGGGGGGTGCTGACACCCATGGGGACCCCCAGGCTCCCGGGAGACACTCGCTGGTTCTCATCGGCCCTGCAGGAGGCGGTCTGGAACCCCCAGCTTCCCTCCTGGCCTTTCTGCCGCCTGCCCCCACCCCCTCCCCATGGCCGGAGAGCCTCTACCCAGCCACTTCAGGGGCGCGGGTGTCCACAGCCTGTCTGCCTCGGAGGGGTCTGCAGACGGGGTCTGAAACACCCTCCACTTAAGCCAGAAAATCAACAGAGAAAGGCTGGCTCTGGGCCACTGTGGTCAGACCCAAGCCCACGGAAAAGTGAGAACTCGAGACCTCCGTGTTCTCAACCACTCAGTCGCAGAATATCTTCTATAAAAATTCTGAGACGAAGCAGAAAGCGCTTAGAAATCATTTCTCAGAATTTGAAAAGCCACTCCACACACACAAGTGGGCTCTCCCAACTGTGCTCCGAGCTCAGACTACGTAACATGACATCCCAGCCAAACAGGCATTTCCGGAGGTGAGCCTCCAGAAGCGGCCCCGCCCCGCCCCGCCCCGGTTTACTTCCGCCGCCTGTTGGCCACAGGCCCCGCCCACTGGCCACAGGCCCCGCCCCCGCCCGAGAGGGCGTCTCGGCTCACCCCGCAGCATGTTCTGCTGGTGCTTGGCCGTGCAGATCAGGCGGCTGATGCCCTCGATGCACTGGCTTTTGGACTCCACGTCCTTATCCTTGGTTTTCTTGGGCAGAAACATCACTAGGAGGAAAGGGGGCCGTGCTGTGCTCCCGCTGCTTCTTCAGGGCGCGGGGCAGCGCGGGTTGTCCACTCTGCCGGCCCTGGACCCCCCTCCTCTGGGCCTCCTTTCGCGCTGACCCTGACTGCCACCACCCTCCCGCCAGCAGGCCCTTGCCCAGGGGTGTAGGAACAAAGTGGCCCCCAGGCCCTCGGCGCCCTCGGGGCCTGCGCAGCAGCCCCTCCGCCCCGACAGTCAGCCCGCCTCCCCACCTCACCCTTCTTGTTCTTCTCCTTGGTGACCACGGTCATGGACATGGTGGGCGTGGCCGCGGCCTCGCCGCTGCTGGGCAGCCTGCTGACCTGGAGAGACCGGAAGGTGCACTTGAGTGTGTTTTTGGTGGTGGGCGAGTCCTTCTTCTCCGCGTCTCTCTTCCTGTCTGCGGGCTGAGCTGCCGTCCAGTAATCCACCTGCAGCCCCATGAGCTCGGCGCCAACGCCCTGGCTGTGAAAGACGAGGTAGGCTCACCCCTCCGTCCTCAGTGGCGGACGGCAGCACCCCAGGCCAGTGTGGGCGAACGGGTGCCCTCCGGTGCCTGTGCTGCCCGACCTCGGGGACCACCTGTTTAGAGGGCCCAGGCCACCGCCCCTCACAGGTGCAGGCCCCAGGGGGTCCTACAGTGGGTCTCCCGACCCTGCAGCAGTCCTGTCTGGGTGGGTCCTGCTCGGGAGAGCCCTGAGGGCACTGGAGAGGGGCTGCTAATAACCACGCCCACTCTATCCCAGGCCTGCTACTCACATCCGCGTTTCCAACCCCCCCACGCCCCCTCCCGCCCCCGCCCCTGCGTCCAGAACACCCTATATTTACACTCTCTGTAGTTCCGGCCCCAGGAATGCAGGGGGCCAAGTGGGGAGACACCAGCCCAGGACTGAACAGTAGGGCACCCCAACTCACTTGTCTGAGTGAGCCTTTGTTGACACCACTGTGTCCCCCACAAGGCCACCCTGACCCTCTGCTTCCTGGCAGCCTGGGGTGCGGTCAGGGACCCCAAGGAACCACCTGGTTCTCAGCCCAATGCCTGTTGTGCTGGGGGCAGCACTTCCGCATGGCTGCGTTTACCTGGGGGAGGACAGGCCTCCGCTCACTGAGGGGGAGGAGGGCGGGGTAGGCGAGGCCTCCTTGGCCGCTGGAGACGTGGACGGTGGGGTGGACGAGAGCACGCTGGAGCCCGAGGGGGCCGCGTCATCTGAATCACCTGGGGAGGAGTTGGGGGCGGCACTGAGCCCCCCCACGGCTCTGCCTGGGCAGCTGGCAGCCCTCCGCACCCAGACACGGCAGGGAGGCCAGGCAGCTGTGGGCCGGGGGTGCACCTGTGGGAAGCCGGAGGACCCCCCTCCCCCAAAGCTGAGCAGGAGCTGTCAGGCCTTCAGGGACAAGGGAGGCCCATTTCTGGTGAATTCAAGCCCCGCAGGAGACGAGCGCTGGGGCTGCCACCCACGGCACCCCTACCCCCCACTGCCCCCCAGCCCAGGGCTCGGAGAATGCAGTCACCTGACGTGGCCGAAGATGGCTCCACTATCCCCACCTTCACCACCTAGGAGGCAACAGGACGCTGCTAAGGGTGGGCTCCAGACCCAGGTAGGGACCTGTTCCCTGCAGCTGCCCACTCACCATGTCCTCCCCGGAACTCCCGGGGCCGAGTCGGGTCCCAGCTCCTCAGTGCGAGGGGCAGAGCTGGGCTCAGGGGAGCCACTGTCCGCATGGTCAGCTGTGCCACAAGCCCTGGTAAAGGACTCCCCCTCTTCAGGTGGTGTGTTTGGGAGATGCCCTCAAGACGCAGCCAGCTCTGGCCATCTTGCATTCCCGGGATGAAGGCACAGGCCCCAGAGGCCTCAGGCTGCCGGCCGGCCGGCCCCCGACCTAACCCTGACCTGTGACCAGCATTCAGGACACATGTGGCCTCCAGCAGGAGAGGAACCCTCTCCCCACGAGTGAACCTCTCAGGTCCCATACCCTGGCCTCGGCAGAACACACGCGCGTAAGATTGACCGGGCACAGGTGGTGGCGAGTCAGATGCTGGCGAGAGGGAGCCTGGCCCAGGGGGCACTAAGGTGGCCGCAGGGCCTGCGCAAAGTCCCTGCGGGCTGCCAGGGGCCCCGGCCCACGCCGACCAGGGTGGGAGCTGTGTCAAGTGAAAGAGATCACGACGACGACCCCGGCCCTGGTTACACGGCAGTGTCTCACGTGCAGCCAGCAGGACAGGCCCTGTGGTCACTACGGCAGCTTCCGCAGGACAGCTCCGGACGAGCTCCCTCCCAGGATGGCCAGCAGCCACCCCTCGCCTGAGCAGAGTGAGCATGGCCTAGAGCCCCTGGCGCCTGCCTGGCTGCCACACACCTCCCAGCAGATGCCCCGGCTGGAGACCCCAGTGGGGCCACAGACCGTGGACACACGGCCAGCCGGCAGGTGGCAGCCCTGGCTCCTTGGCTGCAGGACAAAGTAAAACCTTCCAACTTACAGGCCACACTCTAGCCAAGCAAGCCTGCCCCGAGGCTCCCAGATCTCTGCCGCAGATCCCAGGAGGGGCCCGTCCTGAGGACGGCCAGCCCCGGGTGGCCCCTGACGAGCCGAGCCTGATGCTGATCCCCACTGCCCAGGACAAAGCTAAGAACCAGCCCCGTGCCCTCAGGCAGGCTGCCTGCTTCCACAAGTCCAGTCCTAGCAGCGCCTGAGCACACTCCCCACTTGATGCAGGAAAGAGAGACTTTAGAGTGGGAGGGATGCGAAGGCAAGTCGTCAGCTACAACTGAAGAAGGTTCTAGACCGTGTCGCGTGAACACGACGACACGCCGATCACGTCGGCGGATTACAGCCGCCCCACAGGGGAGCAGCCGGGTGGCAGGATGGCGGGCAAGGTGACAGCTGCCCAGGCGGTACTCACCCCAACGAAGGGAATGAACTTCTGGGAGGACTCCTCGTCGGGGCTGAGACAGGGAAACACACAGTCAGCCCCACTGAGGGGCGAGGCCACCCTCTGCAGCGCCCGGCCCACCCGGACTCGCGCCCGCCCTCCCACGGACACCAGCCTGGACCTCTGACCGCAGGGCCCGCTGACCTGCAGGAAGGCTGAACGCAGCTCTGCATGAGGTCCAGAGCCCTATGGGGTGGCCTGAGGCCATCTTCTCCTCCCTCTGGGGCACCTGGCGCGCAGACAGCCGGCCCAGCCTGGAGCCACTCTGCTGGCCCCCTGGGGCCCCAGGAGAGGGCGGGCTGCCTGTGCCCCCAGGACACCCCGGGGGCAGCCAGGGCCACCTCCAGGAGGTGGGGGTGGCCGTCCCATCAGGCAGAGACATCCCCCCCGACAGTCTGGATGAAGTTGGCGCCTACTGCGGGGGCGTTTCTAGGACTAAGACCTTCATGACGGAGGGCGTGGGTTCTAACAGCACAACTCGTCCCAAGAGCAGCCTGAAGGCAAGGCTGAGGCTCTGGGGGCGTGCTGCTGTACACACCCACAGGCCCTGAACAGCTGCTGGCAGAGCCCAGCCTCTCCAGGACCCCCCGTCACGGCCGCTGGCAGGCAAGGCGCCCAGGGTCCCCAGGCCTGGGTGGGGGCGTCTCTTCTACCCGCTCCCCCCGGGGCCGGGGCTGGTCCTGCGGCTCAGCTGGCGCCACTCCGGCCCCCGGTGCCCACCTTGGCCTGGGCTCCACTGGCAGCTGGCAGAGCACCCCCTTCTCGCCTCCGCCTGGGTCCCCAGGGCAGGACTGGTCCTGGGCCTTATGCGGTCCCTCCCCCAGCCGCAGGGCAGACAGGTGTCCCCTCCCCTGCCTCCTGGGCCGGCATGCTCTCCGAGCCATCCTCTCAAACCTGAGCTTGAAGTCACAGAGCAACTCTTCTGCAAGGCAGTCCACACACGCACACCCAGTAGGGCAGCGGCCTGGAGATGCCACCCAGGGAGAATCCTCTGCACCAGGCAGGCCTGCCCGTGGGGACCCAGGCCAAGCTCAGCCAGCTCCCCGGGTACCAGCTCTTGGGACCAGGAGCCCCAGGGCACCAGAGCTTGGCAGGAGGCTCTCCCCTCCCTGTCCCTGTGGCGGATGGAGGCCTGGGGCTGGGGGTGCCCCCGTGAAGTGTGGTCACCAGCTGGACAAGCGCCCCTGGCCCAGGGGCCAGTTCAGAATGCAGGTCCCGGTCCTGGCAGGAGGTGCTGCCCCGTGCCCAGCACGCCACCCACATGAGGGGACAGCAGCTGGCAGGAGCCACCCTCCCCTGGGCACCCTTGGACGTGGGCATCCGTGAACCACCCAGCACCACCCACCCCATCTCTGCAAAAGACCTGGCAAATGACTTTGGATGAAAGAACCTACAGTTCAGTCCCTCCAACTGAAGATTACCAAATTCCCAGGTTTTCTCCCCATTTTAAGAAGAAAACAGTTGAAAAAGAAAACTTCCCTTCATTCGAGTTCATGTAACAAAACAACCCAAATCTTGTGCCCGGACCTCCTCCTGCATGTGAGGAGGCAGAACGTCTGGGGGGGTCCCTGGCTCAGTGCACAGGGGCCTTCGACCCAGAGGGCCCCCACCTCAGTGAGCCACTGCCCACCACGCATGCCCACCCCCTCCACGATCTGCACGCGGGGAGGCAGACAAACGAGGACCCCAAAGAGGGGGTACTTGGAGACTCCACAACACAAGCGTCAAAGCCAAGCTGTGCTCCTGGGCCATGCAGACGACATCCAGCACGCACGTGCCCACGCGACGGGGGTGACACCGGCTTCCATCGAGACCCCTCACCCTGGACCCTGCGTGCGGAGGGCATGCGTGCTCCTGGCAGGGACAGAGATCGGGACTCCGAGGGCTTGAGCCCACGGCTCTGTGCCAAGGCCCCTGGGCATGGCTCATGAGACCTGCGTGTGGGGGAGGTGCCACCACATGGCATCAATGGCATGGAAGCTGAGGGGAGCCCACGCCGGCCAAGAGGCCAGGGTAGGGGTGCTGGGCAGCCCACACAGTTGCCTGGGAGGACCACCGACGGGTCTGACCTCAGGCTGGGAGCTGGTGCTGAGCAGATCGGAGCCTCCCTGCAGACGCCCTCACGGGGCTGGGCTGGAGGAGGCCTGGGATGGCCGTGCCCACTGCCCACCATCTCCCAGGTCTCCTGACCCCTCGGGGTGGACAGCAGCCTGTTCTGTGTCACCGCAGACAAAGGCTGGCCCGCTGCCCTTCCGGCCTGGGCTCTGAGCCTGGATGGCGCACTGGCCATCACGGGGCTGCAGCCGGGACAGCGGGCCGCCCCCCCCCCGCCCCCAGGGCCGGGCCGGTGTCACCACTGTAACGCGGAGGTGGGGGCTGAGCGCGGAGGTGGCTCGGGGCGTCCCAGGTCCCGGGCCCAGGCGCGGCTCAAAGGAGCCCGCCCTGGCACAGACGCTGCGGCCCAGGCAGCAAAGCAGGCCGTGCTCCTGGCACAGCTATCGGGGGTGGGCGGGGAGGGGCGCGGGCACAGGCCCACAGGAAGCCCGGGGTCAGCAGGGCACACCACGGCTGGTCTTTCTCGAGACCCTGAGGCTTGTTTAGCAGGATGTCTGAACGGGCTCACACCCCTCCTCCTGATCCATCCCAGGGCCCAGCACAGAGGCGGCCTGGGACCCAAGGACTCGCCCTGGAGCTTTCCCAGAGCAAATGCCCTGAGACTCTGGCAGAGCAGCACCCCGAGGCTGGGGCTGCCTGGCAGGCAGGGCTGTCTGAGGCTCAGCTCCGACATACAGTCAAACAGAGGAGCCGCCACCTTGGGGGCAAAAATAGAGTCTCGCTGTGTGCAGGGGTCCCAGTGGCCTGGCCACCATCCAGGGAAACCCCAAAACTGAGCTGGGAAACTGCCCCGAGCTGCTCTCCCTGGCTGCTGGCAGTGGGTACGGGGTGCACAGCCCGCCCCGAGTGGTGCCAGTGCTTGCTGGCTCACGGGGTGGAACCAGTCCCTGCGGCTACCTCGGGGGTGGAACTGCCAGGCTTCAGAGACGAGTTCCGCCGGCCACTTCCCAACCCGCACTCGGGACTGAAATGCTGCCAGGCAGCAGACTTTGTCCCTGAGGCTGGGTGGGCACCTGAGAGGGACCGGGCAGCTGGCTCGGGCAGCGTGCAGTGCCAGGAGCCTGCCTGGTGGAGGCCGTGCCCCCTGACCCCCGTATGGAGAGCTGAAGACCACCCCACCTGCTGACACCGCCAAACAGCCCTAAAGACCAGCCAGTGGGCAGACGGGAGCCGGACCCACGGACAGCGGTACCTGAGGGTAAAGTCAAAGTGAAAGTTCTTTCTCCTTTGCAGAGAGCCGCCAGAAAGAGAGACAGGACGCTGTTAGCCGCTCAGAGGCAGTGAGGCACCTGCCAGGGGCCCCTCGCAGAGCAGGGGCTGGAGCCCAGGGCAGGCAGCTGGGCTCCTCGGACCTGCCGCGGCCTGCCTCCTCCTGCAACCCCCGACTGCGTCTCTGTTCATGGCCGGGCAAGGAGACTGCTAGACCCCTCGGATCGCACAAGGCCCCACCCCATGGAGGCGGGCATCAGCCCAGCCCCTAACCACCATCCTGCATTGGGCAGGGTGAGGACCGGGTCTCCTGCTGGAGACTGGCTGTTGGAGGAGGCATTCCAGGATGCTGCTGGGCCAGCATCAGGACCACTGCTCTTGTGACTCCAATTACAGGAAATCCCAGCGCATTCAAAGAGAAAGAAAAATCGACCAGCTAATCCTAACTGCGATTTGTGTCAGAAAAGGGTGCAGTGTTCAGGACAACTAGGGGCTTCCCTCATCCCAAGTCTCTTTCCATCCCGTGGGCCCGTCAGTGACCCAAGGAGCTGGGACAGTGAGGATGCAGGCCGCCTGGCCAAGACCGCAGAGGTACGGCGGTCTCCACCCCACGCCTGCCTGGGCCCGCGGAGGTACCTCTTCTGCTTGTAGGTCAGCATGGCCTCTGCGATGGGCAGCTGGTGGGCGCAGTTGGCCCCCGAAATGTACTGGGTGATTCTCGACACGATGTCCGGCGTGTCCTGCACTACAGGAGAAGACCAGGAGGGGTCCGTGGGCACGGCATACCCCAGCACCCAGGGGCTGGGCAGCCAGGCTGGGCACAGCTGAGGGGCTCCTCTGGCCGCCCCCCTCACGGGGTCCTGGGGAGGGCAGTGAGGCCTCGCCAAATCCTGAAAACCCCTCCCCGGGGCCGGTCACCAAAGAGCTTTGCGGCTCACTAGCAGAAACATCCTGGCCCAGACCCCACTGGCCACGCCCCCTGACCTCAGCTACCTGCGCGCTCAGGCCCAATACAAACAAGTGTGTCTCAGAGCACAGCAAACCACTGACTTTCAAAAGGAGGTGTGATGGGCTGGGCGCCGGGCAGGGGCGCGAGGGGCAGGGGCGAGGGGCGGGGGCGTGAGGGGCAGGGGCGGCAGGGCGGGGCGCGTCGCGGGACACGCCCGGGCCTCACCAGCGCTCTGCGCCTCCAGCTTGTTGAACAGGTCCCTCCAAGCCAGGTCCTGGAAGAAGTTGTTGTACCTGTAGTCCACGGAGCCCAGGTACCGGGCCACGGGGTGGGAGCCTGGGGGCCGAAGGGAGGCGTCAGGCGCGGCCCCGCCGCAGCCCCGCTTCTCCGCCCCCCCACCTCACCTCGCCCTGGGGTGGGGGTCTGCCTGAGGACTCCACCCCTTCCAGCGCAGACAGACGTGTGTGCGCCAATTCAGGAAAGCCAAAAGCCGGGGGTTTCGTTTTGAGAGTTTTTAAAGGTTAATAAGTAAGCAAGCCCCCGCCTGGCCCTATTGACAGGAGACCCCGGTTGGCCCGGCGCCCTCGGGGTCGGCCCCAGGGCGGGGGCCCCCTCACCCAGCGGGATCACGAGGAAGCGCATGTAGCCCAGCCAGTCGGGGGTCTTGTGCGACAGCTGCTCCACGAAGAGCCGCAGCACGGCACTGAGGTAGTGCTGCGCGCCCGCCACCGCGATCTTCACGGGCGTCGGCGGCTGCGAATTGCAGTTGCAGCTTCGGGCGGGAGAGGGGCAGAGCCTCAGGAGGACAGCCGCCGGGCGCCCCGGCCCCTCGCGCCCGGCCGCCCCAACGGCGGCCCCCACCCCATCCCAAGCCGCTGCGGGGCAGAGGCCCCCACGCCTGGGACTCACTATCTCTGAATCCTAGACACGATGGTGCTGAAGGCCGCCTGGACGTCGGCCGCGGAGCAGGTGCAGACCACGGGGAGCGTGTGCCGCTGCAGCACGTCTGAGAGGAACTGGGGGGACGGGGATGAACCTCATCCATGTACCCAGCTCGCGTCCACAGCGGGCAGGGCTGGCCAGGGCCCCAGAGAGGACACATCGCCCCCTCCCCACCCCACCCTGCCCGGGCTGCCCGGCCCCTCCCCACCTGTCCCTGCCAGTCCGAGGTGTTCACGAGAATGATGTTTTCCGGGAGCTGGTCGTCGGAGATGAGGATGTGGTTTAACTGGTCGTACACAGTCTTCCTGGGGATCTGGAGAGACCGGGTCGTTTGCAGCTGCCCTGACGGCGAGCTGTCCCCAGTCACTCACCGGCCCAGCTGACCCCCAGCAGCCCCCGGAAGCAGGCGGGAAAGCCCAACCCCTGGTGCACACGGACACGCATCCTCCGCGTGGACAGAGGCCCTGGGGTCTGGGAGCCCCCGCGCCCGCCTGCCCACAGGCACCTGCAGCTGGCTCCGCGTGTCGGGGCAGCGCTCGTTGTCCAAGCTGTTGGCCCGCTCATTCTGCGGGCGCGCCGGCTGCCGCTCCTTCAGGGACGTGCTCCGGCCCCGGCGGCCCGCCTGCTTCCCCTCGGACCTATGGGGCAGCCGTGGGCACTCACTGCCCTGGGGGCCTGGCCGCTCTGCGGTGAGGCGGCTGCGGTGGGGGCGGTCGTGCAGCTGGGCCACAGGCCATGACGACGGAGACCCCAGCCCCTCCCCCGGTGAGCCTGGCGCAGGCCGTGCCCGCATCCTGGAGCTCAGGGTGCCCCTCCCAGGCCTGACAGAGGCCCCTGTTCCCCCCGCCAGGTAGTGCCAGCACCAGAGCCCTGCTCCTGGAAAACTACTGTCCGAGAAACACAAAGCGAAGGCCTCATGGAGGCCAGCGGCTGACACGCCTGTCTGCTGGCTCCCATCGTGTGCGGCCTGGGTCGGGAGGTCCGGTCCCAGAGGCCATGTGCACGTGGCCTCCTGTCTCGTTTCTGGGAGGAGACGTGCACAGGGATGCAGTGAGGGCTGACCGAGGATGAAAATCGGGGAGCAACACATTGAGTGTCCGCCACACGGGACCCAGACGCTGGGAGAGGGCGGAGGGGGCCCTCCGGCGGTACAGTGAGCCGCGGGGTGGGGTCTGAGGCCCTGCGGCAGTGGTGGGCCCAGGGCTGACCTTGGCGGGCGGACCACGCAGACGGCTCAGAGCGCTGGGGCTGGTGCTTGGCAAGGTGAGGCGCAGCCAGGGTCTGACCATGGGGGGCGGCGAGAGGGTGCGTGGGGGACCCAGAGGGCTCATCCCCTGCCAGGAGGGCGCCCGGCCCTGCCGTCCGAGGCTGCTCCCGCGTTCACAGGGCCCCGGCCAGCTGCCCCCCGCCCTGCAGAGGCCTGCCGCTGGACTGCGCGCTGTGTGAGGGCCACTCTGCTCAGCTGCATGGCCCGCGCCCAGCGGGCATGCCCCGCCCACTCTGGCACCGGGCACCGAACACAAGCCTGCCCCAGCCCGGACAGCATCCCCGGGTCCAGGAAAGGGGAGATGGGGATGGTGAGCCTTCCCTGCCCTTGCAGCAGGGGGCCAGCTGCAGATGGGGGTGAGGGTCCCAGGTGGGCCCCCTGAGTGATGCTCATCCAGCCAGACAAACCCTTCCCCCACGGGGCACCCACATGTGCTCCACACCGGCCCACAGGGGCACTGCTTGGGCCACAGCCTCCCTGGGGCGGCCAGTCACCTGGTGGAGGGGATGACCAGGGACTCAGTCTTGGTGATCCGCCCGCTAGGTGGTAGCTTCTCAGTAAACAGGTCCAGGGCAGAGGTCTCCACCTCGGGGCTTTCCTCAGGCGGTGCTGGCTGCTCCCCGGGGGCGGGTGTGCTCTGCGGGCAAAGGATGGAGCCGTGGGGAACACGCGCCCGCGGGGTCTCCTCCCGGTGCTGTGCCCCCGTGCCCGAGGAGCCTTGGTTTGGGTGAGGGCACTCAGGCCTCTCCTGGGCTGGTGACTCCCTGCATGTGGACGTGGCCACATGCTGCCCTGAGAAGCCAGCTGACCTCCACCTCCAACCACAGGGCTCCCAGTCTGTGGGGAGACCCGCACCACCCCCGCCCTGCCCCGCCATTCCGTGAGAACCCACATGAGAGCAGCAGGAAGCAGCCGTGATGGTCTGTGCCTGACAAGGAAGCAGGGGGATCCTGACCATCTCCTGGGGCAGGGTGAATCCAGGGGGGCCCTGACTGCCCCATGGGGTTAGGGTGAATCCAGGGGCCCTGACCATCCCCTGGGGCAGGGTGAATCCAGGGGGGCCCTGACTGCCCTGTGGGGTTAGGGTGAATCCAGGGGCCCTGACCATCCCCTGGGGCAGGGTGAATCCAGGGGGACCCTGACTGCCCCGCCTGGGGTGGGGTGAGTGGGGTGAGTCCAGGTGGACCCTGACTGTCCCCCTGGGGTGGGGTGAATCCAGGGGCCCTGACTGCCCCCCCTGGGGTGGGGAGAGTCTAGGGGGCCCTGACCATCCCCTGGGGGTGGGGTGAGTCCAGGGGGACCCTGACTGTCCCCCTGGGGTGGGGTGAATCCAGGGGCCCTGACTGCCCCCCCTGGGGTGGGGAGAGTCTAAGGGCCCCAGCTGCCCCCTTGGGGTGCAGTGAGTCCAGGGGAACCCTGACTGCCCCCTGGGGTGGGGAGAGTCCAGGGGACCCTCATTGTGTTTCTGTGCACAGGTTCTGGATGGTGGGAACAAGAGGACCTCCTGGTCACGGGCCTGACCCCAAAAGGCAACACATGAAGGGCTCTGTGAAGGTGGCCCCACACTTCCTTACATGGGCCACCGAATCGGACACGCTGTCACTGGGCTGCTTGCCTCCGAGGACCCGCGTCTTCTCGGGCACGTCAGCCTGTGTGGATGAGACAGGACGGAATCAGGAGGTGTCCGGCAATGGTGCCCAGGCTGGCTCACCTCTGGGCACGGGCTTCTGGGCTGGGAGGCAGCCTGGGGAGACTGGCCAGCGAGCGTTTCCTGGACCGTGGGCTCAGGGCCACCCCACGACAGTCACTGGGCAGGGTACTCAGACCACAGCAGAAACCAGGAGGCACTGAGCCCTGGGCCTGTCAGAGCCTCCAGTGACTCAGACGGGAGGATCAGGGTGCCCACCGCCCGCCTGAGGACCCCAGCGGGGGTGCTCACCGGGCTGGGAGGCTCCCTCTGGCTGCGGGCGCTGTGGATGCTCCCGATCTCTGTCTGCGAGCTAGAGTGGGACAGGCCTTCGAAGTACGGCCTGGGAGGTGGAGACAGAGAGTGCGTTGTCGTCTGGCACACCCCCCCACGGGGCATGGCAGGGTCGAGCGCAGAGCAGGCCCCACCCTCGAGGGCCACAGAACAGGCAAGGACACCGCAGGACTGAGAGCTGCCCAGCAGACCTGCGCCCCGAAGCCCCCACCCCTGGGGGCTGGCCCGGGGCACCCGACACCTGGAGGCCTGAAGGGTGTGGGACCTGGGCCCCCTGGGCCAGAATGCAGGAACTGAAGGTCAAGTTAACGAGGGGCGGGATCCCTGAGGTGTCTGGTGATGAAGCCACACAGGTGTGGAACCGTGAGGCCAGACCGCAGTGCGTGGTGGCAGGATGAGGCCCGAGATGCCATACCTCCACCCAGGACTGAGCCGGGGGGCTGGGGGCTCGCCCTGCGGCACGGCTTCCAGTGGGGACAGCGTGGGTCAGACAGGCATCGGCTGACAGAAGCAGAAACCTGCCCCCTCTGAAGGCAGAGAGGGGTCGGGGGCCCACCGTGCTGGCCTTGAAAGTGCAAGGGTCGTAGGCAAAAGGGAAGCAGGACCTCTGACCTGAGCCTGCAGCCGCCCCTCCAGGGAGAGGAGACTGGGGGCCGAGTCAGCAGTCACTCGCTGGTCAGGACTCGGCCCGCCGTGGGCGGGGGCGGCGGTGGTGCTGCCATGGGGGGCAATCTGCTGTGTGTGGGGGTGTCTGCCCCAGAGGGGATCCCCACCATGGGGGGGAATCTGCTATGGGGGGTATCTGCCCGGGGCGGGGGTCCTGCCGTGGGGGGGAGTCTGCCTTGGGGGGGTCCTGCCGTGGGGGAGGTCTGCCATGGGGGGTCCCACCCTGAGGGGGGTCCCGCCCTGAAGGGGGGGTCCCGCCGTGGGGGGTCCCACTCTGAGGGGGGCGGTGCCACCCTGAGGGGGGTCCCCCCAGGGGGGGCCCTGCCGTGAGAGGTCTGCGAGGCTGTGGGGGGCGGGTGGCAACGCGCCCCCTCCTGGGTGCTCCCCGGGCTCTGATCTCTGCTTGCCGAGCGTCTGACGGCCGGCCAGGCCACAGGCCTCCCTGCCTCTGACGTGGGCTCCTGGGCTCAGACCTTCACGCCCCCCCAGCCCCCGGCCAGGCCGCAGCCCCCCACCTCCCCCAGTGCCCCCTGGCTCCCCGCGGGATGGACGGCCCCGGGGCACCCACCGGTCTCTCCCAGGTCCACATCCCACCTGCCCCTCCTTCCCGGACACGGCCTCCTGCGGGGCTGACCCCAGCTGACTCCAGACTGGACTCTCCCTTCGCCACACCCCACCCCTGAAGGCCCGCAGACCCAGGGCCCCCTCGGGGTCTGTGCCTCCTGTCCACCCCCTCCCCAGAGCCCACGCCCCAGACGGCCTGCTGCCCCGCACACTGCCTTGCCTTCCGGCCCCAACGACCACCCAATGGGCCTCCTCACGGCTCGCCCCTGCCGACTGCCAGCTCTGAAGGCAGGCCGCCGTGCCCGCGTCCGGGATGCCGGCCGCACCCACCTGAGCTTCGGCTTGGGGGTGCTGAGGACACTGTCGTCGTCCTCCATGTCAGGGCCGCTGTCGCTGGGGTTCTCCACGTCCAGCGTGTCGTACAGGAGGTCCAGGTCTTCCTCGACCTCGGGGACATGCTCTGCGGGGTCCTGCTCCGAGTCCAGGACCTACGTGAGGCCAGAGGTGTGAGGCTGCGGGACAGACGGGAGGAGACTGCTCGGCCACCCGGCACCCTTCCTCCAGCCGGTCCCTGCAGGCCCTGGGCGTCCCACTGAGGCCTCTGGTCACGCAGGCACTTGGCTCAGCTCTCCTCCCCAGCCTGGGAAGCCTGCACCGCCAGCACAGCCTTTAGAGCATCCGGCAGCGCTCCGAAAACAGAAGCTGTGCTGCGGCACCACCAGGATCTGGACGCAAGAGGCTGCCCTCCCCGGGCGCCCCTGCCCCGACAGCCCCCCAGGCCCATGCACTGGGCCTTCCCAGGAGGGCGCACGCCCTGCAGTCACTTGGCATGCAGTCTCCCCTCAGCACAACAGCATGTGTCAGTGAGTGTGTGTGTGTGTGCCCACGCACGCACGCCCACGCAGGCGCGCCCACAGCTGGCTCCTCCTTGCTAGTGGGTCTTCACGACGGGTCACAGCGTGCTCCCAGGATCTGTGGCTACAGGGAAGCTCCCGTAATGCCATCGGCCTGTGTGGACGTGTCTCCTCCTCACAGGGAAACACGGGGCAGTGCTGCGTGCCTGGCAAGGGTGTCTAACCCGTTTAGCCTCTTTTCCAAAGTGGTGCCACTACGGGTGTCCCGTCCAGCACGTGGGGGTTCCGATGGTCACACATCCCCATCAACACGTATCTTCCGTGTTCCTGGGGATGGCCAGCCCAGCGGCCACCAAGAGGCGTCCACTGATCTGCACTCCCCGATAACTAGCGATGCCAAGCATCTCTTCATATGTTTACTGACTTGTTTGTATTTCTTCTTTGGAGGAGTATCTCGTCAGATCCTTTGCCCACTTTTTAAAGTGGACAGTTTTTTCATTGTGTTGTTCTGAGTTGTAAGTGTTCTTTATATGCTCTGGATTACAGGTCTCCTACCAGATATATTATTTGCAAAATATTTTATAATTTTGATGGAGTCCAGCTTACCTGTTTCATCTTTGTTTGCTCGTGCTTTTGGTGTCATATCTGAAAAACCACTGCCTGATCCAAGCTCACAAGCACTCCTGTTTTCTTCTAAGAGCTCTGTAAGTTTTAGCCCACATAGCTAGGTCTTTGACTCACCTGGAGTTAATTTTTGTGTGCACTGTGAGGAGGGGACTCTGTGCCCAGACAACCCACTGTTCCAGCAGTAGGTGCTGAGAAGGCTCTTTCCCCCCCATTGAACGGTCTGCTTGGAAATCCGCTGACCGTTAACAGAACGACTTAACCTCACTTCTTTGATCTGCTGAGGACGGCGGTTTTTGCTAAGTTCTGAAGACAGTGTGAGGCCTCCAAGTCTGTTCTTCCTCAATGACTGCCTTGTTGATTCTGGGTCCCTTGCATTTATGTGTAAGTTTCAGCACTAGGTGGTTAGTTTCTGCAAAAGGGTAGCTGGAGGTCTGCTAAGGAATCGTCTGAACCTGGAGGCCAGTGTGGGGAGGACCACGGCTGAGTGGCCTGGCTCTGAGCGGCTCACGTGAGGAGCCGCCACAAGGGGACGGCGCCCGCCTCACATGCGGACACATGGCCGCTGCTTCCGGGCAGCACACTCACAATCACACGCGCGTGCTCACACGTGTGACAGGCAGGAAGGCTAGGGGTCTCCACACAGGGGAAACAGGCTGCAAGTGTCAGACATCTTTTATCTCTCTCTTAAGCGGCAAGAGGAAACAAACTACAGCATCAGATTTTTTTCCCCTCCTCTATACAAATTTTAAAGGTTTCTTTTAAAATTCTGTGTTGCCATGACGACACCTGGTTCCACCTGAACTTTTCTCAAACCTTGAGCGAACTAATGCGTTTTTCTTATGGAAACGTTTTTCTTAAGCTGTGTTAACTATGTATTTACTCTAGGTTCTGTCTTTCTTCAAGTCAGTTCCACCTAAGACTCAGAACAGTCTTGACAAACCAGCATGTTTTACCCACGCAAATGTTCTCTTAAGCTCTGTTAACCAGACCATGTATTTGCTTGGAAACCTGCTTTTCTTCAAGATTCATGTCAATCATTTCACAGCCTGGGATGACTCACCTTGTGCCAATGTTATCTCAGAATGCATGTTGTGGGTGAAGGGCCTGTTGACAGTCTCTGAGTTTTGAGAGATTTTATTTCTCTAATTAACAGCCTCCTGATAGGCATGTAACTTATTCCTAAAGACTACCAGGGGGAATGGAGAAGGCAATAGCAACCCACTCCGGTACTCTTGCGTGGAAAATCCCATGGACGGAGGAGCCTGGTAGGCTGCAGTCCATGGGGTCATGAAGAGTCAGACACGACTGAGCGACTTCACTTTCACTTTTCACTTTCACGCATTGGAGAAGGAAATGGCAACCCACTCCAGTGTTCTTGCCTGGAGACTCCCAGAGACGGGAGCCTGGTGGGCTGCCGTCTGTGGGGTCGCACAGAGTCAGCCACGACTGAAGCGACTCAGCAGCAGCGGCAGCAGCAGCGGGGCCCTCTTTCCGCCCCCTTCTGATGTCTGTGTCAGAAGCTGTCTCTCTCTCTTTCATACTTTAATAAATCTTTATCACACAAAAGCTCTGAGCGATCAAGCCTCGACACTGGCCCTGCACTGAATTCCTGTCCTCCGGAGGCCAAGAATCCTGCATCATTCACAGCTCAGCAGCAACTGCTCACTGCTGGGACCCACGTGGTGACAAGGCCTTGGGGCTCAGACACTTACATGCCACACGCCCTGGGTGGGTCCAGAGCCTGGGGACAAACTGTCCTCTGATCACATTTAAGAAAAACCAGGCATTTTTCTTCTGGTTATCAAAGTTCTACAAACTCATCATTTGGAGATTAAAAGAAAGCAAAAAGAAGAAATTTTACAGCACACGGTTTGATAGTCGGGGAGGCCATGTGTGTGGTGACAGGGTACATGGAAACTCTGCTTGGTTTTGCTGTGAACCTAAAACTGCCCTAAAAGATAAAGCCGAATTAAAAAAAAAACACAAAAGCCCGCGGTCACACCCCCCGAAAGACGACACCCCGCTTTCTCCCAGGTCTGTCCAGCGATCTGTCGTTCAGGAAGCTCGGTGGGCACTGCCTGAGCCTCTGCCGCCCCCTGAGCGGCCCTGGGGGTGGGCCCCACCGTCCACGCTCCTGGACGAAGACAGGGCCGCCAGAGACCCGCCCAGAGCTGGGCTCCAGGCCCTCTTCCCACCAGGGCCCCCGCTGCCGGGGGCCGCCCCCTCACCTCGTCGGAGACTTTAAACCTCCGCAGCAGGGCCACCACTTTCTGCTTGAAGTTTTGCTGCTGCAAGACAAGCGGGGCGCGGTCAGAGTGCACGGGGCTGCTCCTCAGCAACGGCGGCACGGCAGCGGGCGGGGCGGCTCAGACAGCCGAGACCCGTGACTCCAGCCGCCCACACTTGTGCTCAGACTTGGAAACGGCCCACTGACGGGCTGGTGGTCGGAGGCCAAACGCGGGGACGGAGGGGAGTCTACGGCTCTTCCAGAAGCCTCCATGCGTGAGGCCCCGCCCTGCCTCCGTGGACCGCAGTGGCAGCCAGGGTGTGGGGACCCGTCTGCTCCCAGCGCAGCCATGATCACAGGGCTCAGCCCCAGCTCTCTGCACAGAAGCTGGGCATCGGGCCCTGGGCCCGAGGCTCACACGGATGCTGTCCCGGCACTTCTGGACGCACTGTGGTCCAGACAGCTGGCTCACTCAGTGTTCGGGAACCAGCCCGTGGCCTCCGGGCCTGGCCGGGGGTGGTGGGCTCTGGGGCAAGGGGTCGGCTCTGAGGCTTCCCGGGCCGCCCTCTACGCTGGCCTGGCCTGGGGCTGCGGCCCGGCACACGGGGCGGCTGGGCACGGGGGTGGACGCTCCGCCTGGATCTCCCTCCTGGAGGAGGGGCCGGCAGCCCTTCTGAGCCCTGGGCCCGCCTGCCCAGAGCAGACAGGAGCCGGCCTCACACTGGGTGTGTCCGGGCCGCGAGGCAGCCGGCTGGGCTCTGCTCAGGGACTGGCCTTGCCCGCTGCCTCCGGGCCTGTGGCCCGCAGCCTGGGGTTGGCCCGCTGATACCATGGGGGCCCTCCTCCCAAGGCGAGGCCGTGGCATAGGGCCACTCACCTTCACGCCATTTGCAGGGAAGAGGCTGGACCTCAGGAGAAGCCACAGAGCCGGGCTTCCGGGGCAGCATGCGATCGGACGGGCCGCCCCACACCCTGCCCGCCCCAGACCCCCGCCCCCCGCTTCCCCAGGTTAGTAAAACCAGTCTCCACCGACCCTGGTCATGGACGGCGTTCTTACTATCGATCGCCGCTGCTTCTTGGGCTTCCCCACATCAAAGTCATCCTCGTCCAAATCCTGCAGAGACATGCCGCGCCTGAGCCCCACGCGGGGCCCAGGGACCCTGCCCACGCGGACTCTGGGCATCAGAGCGCACGCTCGCGGCACCCAGGCCCCAGGATACCCTGTCCTGGTGGCTTTGGGGGGTCCTCATGTCCCTTCAGGGGCCCCATTTACCCAGCCCCGACCCCCTACTGCCGGGAGCACCCGCTGGTTACTCTCCCCTGACCCCCCCACCTGCCCCCCGCTCCCCCCCATCACCCCTCCGCCCTACCTGCCCCTGCACGGCATCGTCACTGGCCTCCTGCTCCGAGGAGAAGCTCTCGTACTCCTCCTCCGAGTAGTTCTCTGCGGGGTGGGCACACAGAGGGGGGCACCCTGAGGCTCCGACCCCTGGTGTCCAGCCCCTCTGTGCAGGGCCGGTGCGGACACAGCCCCCACGTGCCCCCCGGTGGTCTTCCTGCCCCTCACAGGGCTCACCCCCACGTGCCCCCCCACCGTGGTCTGGCCCTTCCTGCCCACCACAGGGTCCTGGATCTTTGGCTGGACTGGTCCCTGTCTGCCCACCCCCACCTCAGGGGAGACAGTGACCCCAGCTGTGCTGGAAGAGACAGCCCAGGACGGTGCCAGACCCGAGAAGGCACCATGGCTTCCCGCGACTCGCTCAGTGGCTGGGTCCCTGTGTGCAGGAGGGGCTGGGACGCCCACCACCCAGAGGGCCGCCTGCAGACCCTTGTGTCCCCTCCCCAGCTCCTCACGCCCGCAGGCGCATAGCCGGGAGGCGGCGTCCGCGGCAGAGGGGCGGCCCGAGGCGGCACTCACCGGTGGACTTGGCCTTGGGGCCGGCCTGCATGGCACTGTCCTCATGGTCAATGGGCTGGCTGGACAGCGAGAAGATCCAGATCTCGGCCACCTTGACCGTGGCCTCCTTGATGTCGCTGCAGAGGCTCAGCACCTGTCCGCCCTCCGCCGGCTGCTGCAACACCTGCGGGGGTGCAGCTCTGAAGACCCTGCTGGCCCACACTGCGGGGCACACGCGGGGGTCCGCTGGGCCTTCCTCTCGGCAGTGACCACAGGGGCCACGGGCAGCCGGGCGAGCGTGGGGGGGAGGGGCGCACCGGGGCAGGAGGACAAGAGGACACGGAGCCAGTGGCTGGGCCACAGGGGGCCTGCTACATCAAGCAGGGAGGTCAGGCCAGGCCCAGCCCCCGAGCATTGCAGGCCGTCGAGGAGGAGCGCCGTGGCAGTGGGCAGTGTATGAAGCCCCAGGGGCCAGCCCAGACAGGGCCTGAGCCTCAGGATGCAACGCCAGGGACCAGGCCCTGGCGGGCCAAGGAGGACGGGCCCTCCGAGCGGGCCCGGGGCCCTGGTGCCACAGAGTGGACACCCCCTGGGCATCGCCCAATAGGACGGGGAAGCCCTGGGGCTGCTCTGATCATGAGAGTCAAGCAGACCTCTCTCTGAGCACCAGAGCCCCCCAACTCCACCTGTGCTCCACTAGGATCCCAGGTGCCCGAGCAATTCGCCTGGATGGGCCTTCTCAGGACAAGCCAGCGGACAAATGCTTCCACGTTTCAGAAGCTGTGTTTGGGGTCATCTGATCAAATACAGCTAGATGCTGGAGTTTTAGGGACCAGATTCTTTTCTAATTTGGGGGACTCAGCTGGAGCGGCCAACTCTTTAGTCAAGTAAGAAAATGAGGCTTCTGAGAAAAGCAGTACCTCCTCCTCTCACCATCACTAAAAAGCCGTGTTAACAAAGGGGCTGGCAGCACCCTGGCCCACCGCCCCCCGGGGCAGCCTGCTTCCCGCTGGGCAGGAGCTTCAGGGGGGTAGGGAAGCCCCCCCCCCCCACCCACCAGGAGGCACAGGAGACCGTCTGGCTGCCGCCCTCACCTCGGCCATGTTGATGGAGCCAGCGGCCAGCGTCTTGTAGCCCAGGATGGTTCGGTTCTTGTACCTCTTTCTTCGCTGCAGCATGATCTGAAGCTTGTTGCCTTCTCTTTTCAAGAAGTGGGGGTACTGCGGAGGAGGGGGGGCTACAGTGACACAGATGACCACGTCCCTCGACACCCATGGATCACACTCCTGAGCCTGGGGGCTCCCTGCCCGCTGGTCACCGTGGGCCTCGGTCACCAGGAACGGCCACTGGTGGCAGACGTGTGCCGTGCGGTCAGGCCGTTGGGAGGGGCCCGTGCCTGGTGGGGCTCCTGCTCAGCGGGAGCAGGCACTCAGCACCCTGGGTCCAGGCAGCCACACCCGCTCCCAGGCCCGCGGTGGCTGTCCACGCTGGCGCACTCAAAGCAAACGTGCACATTTCCTTGAGGGTCACGACTAACAACCTACTTTAAAAGCGGGCTGCGGTGGGGGCGACACACCTGTGCACCTGTGCCCACGCCCAAGGAGCCACAGACTTGACACTGAACTGCATGCTTTGGAAATTACACTCAGCAGACCCGATTCCTGGGGCATTCCCCGGTGGTCCGGCAGCTGGGACTCTGGCTCTCACTGCCAGGGGCCTGTGTTCAGTCCCTGGTCGGGGAGGTGAGGTCCCAGAAGCCACTCAGCGTGGCCAAATAAATAAATAAAACAATAGAACTTGAGTGCCCTCACTACCCCCCTCCAAAAGAAAAGTCAACACAAAACCCAGAAGCCGCTGTGGGGCTCGGGCAGTGAGGCAGCCTCGGGGCAGGGGGTGGGGGTGGGGGGAGAGGCTAGCAGGGCTCTTGCAGACAGTCTGGGGGCGGGGCGGGAGGGGACACTGGCAGGGGTCTCACAGGCGGTCCGGGGGGACGCTGGCAGGGGTCTTGCAGACTGGCTGCAGCACAGCCCATCTTACGCGCTCACAGCAGCAGGGGTTTCTGGGGTTTGGAGGCACTGACACTAATACAGCAGGTGTGCTCAGCCAGAACTGCATGGGCTGAATGAAACAACTTGGGTCTTAATTATGCAAAGAGAAGCGGGGGGAGGAGGAGCCTGGGGGGGCGCTGGTCTGCCCACTCCCCGGGAACCCGCAGTTTCACACACGGGGGGGGGGTGGTTCCGGGTCTAAAGCCCACCAGCAGTGCAGCCCAGAACACCGAGGGCTTTGAACTTACAGCACTGGCTTTCCGCGGCCCCTGCCCACTTCGTCTCCTTTTGTCTGAAACGTCCCCAACCCGCGTCTCTTGTAAACACCGATGAGATGACCGAACCCGAGCACCCGAGTTTTGGCCTCCCCACCCTGTCTTCGCCGTGTGAAGGTGAGGAAAGACTGGGCCTAACACCCCAGGCGCGCTCTAAGCCTGGAGAGCCCGCCCCGTGGGAGAGCGGCCGCGCGCGCGGGGCGGGGCCCACCTGCAGGGAGAAGGTCAGCGCCAGGTCGGTCTCCACGTGTCCGCTAGGGGGCAGCACGATCTCGTGGGAGCGCAGGATCCGCTTGGAGCCCTGGCAGAAAACAGGCGGCGGGGCTCAGTCCGAGGGCGGCCGCAGAGGTGGCGAACGCCGGCGAGGCGGCTCCGTGCAGACTGCCAGCTGCAGAGCCGCAGCCGGGGAGCGGCGGCAGGCCTCGGCGCGCGGCCCCCAAAGGCGCCAGGGCGCGGGGGTCACCCGGAGCCCCAGGACAGCCCGCACCCTCCGACCCGCCTCAGCGGAGGCGCTGGAGAGCCCCTTGGACACCAGGGAGATCAAGCCAGGAGCAAATCAGCCCTAAACGTTCGCTGCAGGGACCGATGCTGGAGCCGCAGCTCCAGCGCTTGGCCACCTGATGCGAAGAGCCGACTCACTGGAAAAGACCCTGATGCTGGGAAAGACTGAGGGCAGCGGGAGTGGACGCCAGAGGATGAGGCGGTTGGATGGCATCACCGACTCAACGGACGCGAGTTTGAGCGAGCTCTGGAAGACAGTGAGGGACAGGGAAGCCGGGTGTGCTGCAGCCCATCGGGGCACAAAGAAATGGACATGACTGAGCAATGGGACAACCTCCTCTAGAGGTTTGTCCCAGCGCCTGAGAAAGGAGGCTCAGATGGGTCACGGCCAAGTTCCCTGCACTCATGGGACGAAGATGAAGGTGGATGAGCAGACAGCGAGAGGCCACGTGTCCCCGGGAAGGCAGGACAATGACAGGTGTCCCCCCCCCGCCCATAGCAGAATGGGGCGGTCAGTGACTGAAGCCCGGCAGCATGGCCGCAGGACGGGGAGGGCAGCACCAGCCCCGAACCAGACCCGGAGAACACGGGGACGGAAGTAAAGACAGACCCAGTGCGCAACCCACTAAGGAGCCGGGGGCTGGCAGGAAAAGTGAAGGGGAAAGTAGTCACGACTGAGTCGTCGTGTCCAACTCTTTGCGACTGTACAGTTCATGGGATTCTCCAGGCCAGAATACTGGCATGGGTAGCCTATTCCTTCTCCACGGGATCTTCCCGACCCAGGGATCGAACCCAGGTCTCCCGCATTGCAGGCGGATTCTTTACCAGCTGAGCCACAAGGGAGGCCCCTGACAGGAAGTTACTCACTAAATGGCCATGAGACGTGGACAGATGGTCCGCAGAGAACACCCAGTCCCGACCTCAAACCTTGGCCCACAAGAAGTTCCAAATGGATTAAAGATGTTCACCATAGCATCATCCTAAAAACAGCTGTCCCAACACAGACAGCCTCAGAACTGGCTCCGCTGAGCGCAGGACGCAGACACGGCGGGACCAACTCAGCCCCGCGTCCGGGGAGCACCGCAGGCAGCCAAGCTCACGGGGCCAGCGGGTCAGCAGAGGCCGCCCCGCAGCGGACGGGGGCTCCCCAACGTGCGACCGGGATGAGGGGTGCAGGGACGGGTGAGGGCGGGAGCGGGCACGGGCCCCGGAAAAGACGCTGACGGAGCCGCGGGGCTGAGGGCACCACGGCGAGCCCGCAGGGAGGACAGTGCCCTCTGGACGCATGTGGGGGCCGGGGCCGCTCTGCCCATGGCTGCTCCGCCGGACCCCCGCATGCTCAGAGGGCGGACACCCCCGCGGCCTGGCGCTCCCCCCACCCCCGGCGTTGCCCCTGTGCCCATCACAGCCATAGCCCCAAGTTCCCTGCACCCCTGAGCCTGTCTGGGTCAGGCCCTGAATGGACAGGCCTGTGCCAGGTGAATGGGGGTCCCAGCAAGGATGCGGGCAGGGGCGGCAGCGACCACAGCGGTCAGTCAGGGGGCTGGCTCATCTGCTCTGAGGGCCTGGGGGTGGTGGAGGAGCCGGGAGTAGACTGGAGGCCCGAGGACAAGCCGGTGAGGAGGCCACGTGGGGGGCAGGCCGGTGGAGTGGACGCCGAGGTGAGCTGACAGGACGGGCGGGGTGGCTGCGAGGGGGTCTGGACTCATCAGAGGCCGAATGCTCCATAGGGACGGGGTCCAGGCAGGACCTTGGGGAAGGGCAGCTGGAGGGACGGGGCCCCAGCTGGGGGTCGGCTGTGTCAGAGGTCAACGGCGCAGGTACTGGGGGCCAGGGAGGGTCCACCCCCTGCTCTGACCCAGAGAGGTTCCCGGGCCAGGGGGCCCCAAGCAGAGCGGGCCGCCCGCGAGCTGGCAGGGCCAATTTCTGCGTGGGCATCACCCCGTGAGCTGGGAGTGCCGCTGCCCCTCGGGGCCAGGGGCCTTTCCTCGGACATAGGCTCTTCTTCCCAGGCCCTGGGCTCCACGCTGACCTCTGGTCCCGAGCCCCCGAGCTGCTCCCGGAGGTCCCGCTGGGAAGCCTTCCAGACCCTCAGGGTCAGAGCGCTCAGGCCGGCTGCAAATGGGGCACCAGCAGCCTGGGGTGGGGGGTGAGGCCCGACTCTGCCCTGCGGGGCTGACCGATGGGGTCCTCAGAGGACAGGCCCCACCGGGAATGTGTCCCGGCAGGGGCCCCGCTGCAGGGTTAGCAAAGGGCCGAGAGCCGCCCCGCGAGTGGACGCGGGACCCAGACACCCAGAGGGCCAGGGCCCCCACGGGGCTAACAGGACCCCTCCTCCAGGGCAGCCGGGCACAGGGGGCACTGAGGGCTGGGGTCCCGGCCCCTCGAGACACAACGCTTGCTCAAAGGCAGAAGGGGAGCCTCTGAGGCTCAAGGGACGCTGGGCACCAGGGCCTGGGAGCACAGCGCATTTGGCCTGGGGTAGGGCTCAGGGGGAGGAGCTCAGGGGGAGGGAGCAGGTCTCTGGCCTGGCTTTCGGCACTGGAGCCTCTGCAGCAAAGGTCTGCGCACGTGCTTTCCTCCTGTCCTCCTGTCCTAGGACCCTCGCAGCCTGCTCTTCACCGTGCGGGGGGGGGGGGGGGGAGGTCTGCACAGGAGAGGGCCCTCTCTTGTCCCCCAGCAGCACGCACACCCGCAGGGCCCCAGGGCGGCGCCAGGGGGAACCCTCACCTGCATCTTGACCGCGATCACCACGGAGATGAGCTCCTTCTCTAGCTCCTTGAAGACCACCAGCTTCTTCAAGGTCAGGCTGCACAACCTGTGAGGGCACAGACAGGCTCAGCGGCGGCCGCGGGCTCCGGCGCCCCACGCCCCACCCTCCACCCTGCAGAGCCCGGGCCTCTGCGGACTGTGGCTCTCCGACCCCAGCACCCTGGTGACGCGTGCAGTCGGGCCTTGCGTCTCCCAGGGCCCCCACCCAGGCCCAGCCAGGCCACCGAGGCTGTTGGACCAAGCCCCCCCTGCAGAGGGTCCACGGACGGGCAGGGCCGCGAGCTGGCAAAGACACAGACCGGAGAGCCCCCAGGGACCCACTCCCAGCTGCAGGATTCCAGGGACCCTGCCCTCAGGGTTCACCTGGGGCCCCACCCTCTCCTCTGTAGGGTTCTGCCTGCCCCGTCTCCTGTCCACGGAGATGCATCCGCCCTCCACCCGGTCCACAGGCGCCAGGAGACAGACATGAGGCCTCCCCCAGGCAGGAGATGCTCCAACTCTCCACTCCAGCATGGAGACCCAGTGTGCCCCAACAGTCCCTGACTCTCCACAGTGAGACCCCAGCAGGGTCTCCAGCAGGACCCCTCCCCAGGCAGGGCCCCCCTCAGAGCCCCCAGCCCAGCCCCTCCACCCACAGGGGCTGCTCTGACTCTGCGGGGCCAGGGCGAAAGCTAGAGGAGACACATGAAAGGAGTTCATGTTCACCAGGACGGACCACATCCTGGGCAATGAAGCAATGCTCCACACACACGCTAAAGAACAGGAATCACATACGCTATGTTCTCGGACAAGAATGGAGTTAGCTAGAAATCAGTGATGGGAAGACGACTGGAAAAGATCAGGCACTTGGGAAACTCAACCACACTCTGCTAAATCACCAGCAGCACACAGAGGAAGCTGGAAGGACACTGTCGAGAATTGTGGGATGCAGCGGAAGTGGTACTGAGAGGAGGAGTCACAGCATTAAATGCTTACAGTAGAGAAGAAAGACACTCTCCAGTGCACAATCTAAGCTTTACCTTAAGACACCAGGAAAACAGCAAATTAAGCCCAAAGTGAGAAGGCAGGAATTAAGGAGAATAAAAGCAGAACAATGAAACTGTAAACAAAGACACAATTAGAGAAAAATAAAACCCAAATCTGGTTCTTTGGAAAGAGCAATAGACTTGATTAAAAACTCTAGGAACACAAAAGAAAAACAGAGAGAAGGCAAAACTGGCCTGTATCAGAAGATACATCACTCTGGAGCTCACGGACGTGGAAGAGCATGATGAGGGATCCTACAGGTAACCCGATGAACACAAAATCTGAGAACTGAGACTGTTAAGTATCAACTCCCTGACAGCTGCGATCTGCCCAAACTCAGCAGGATGAACAACAGCCTGATCTACTAAAGAAAGTGAGGACTTTCCGGGTGGCCCGGGGGATAGGAATTCACCTGCCGATTCAGGGACCACGGGTTCGGTCTCTGCTGCGGGAACATCCACATGCCACTGGGTGACGAAGCCCGCGAGCAGCAGCTCCTGAGCCCCCAGGCCCGGAGCCCGCGCTCCGCAACAAGGAGGGCCGCTCGGGGAGAGGCCCGAGCTCCAGGCTAGAGCAGCTCAGTGCAGCCGCGGACGGCCAGTGCAGGCAAGAGTCACCATCATCCTCATCAAACAGATGATAGAAAGAAGCTGAATTAACGACTAAAAACGTGTGAGAAAGAAAACTCCAATAACACCAACTCTACAAAATATCTTCCAGAAAACAGAAAAGAGTATTTCTCAACTCGTTTTACGTGGTTAGTAAATGCCCTGGTACCAGCACCAGCAACAGGCAAAAGCAGCATAAAAAGGGGAAAAGGGGACTACACACCAGCACTTCTTCCTGTAAACATCTCCAACAAAGCATTAGCAAGAGCAATGCATAATGTGCCATAGCCAAAGGGGGCTGCTTTGCAAGTTTGGTTCAATATTTGAAATCAATGTAATACATGTCAACAGACTAAATACGAAAACCAGAAGACCTCAACTGATTCAGAAAAACTTCTGATAAAATTCAATATGCTTTTATGATTAAAAACTCTGTGTGAACCAGGAAGAGCTTCCCTTGTGGCTCCGCTGGTAAAGAATCCACCTGCAATGCAGGAGACCTGGGTTCGCTCCCTGGATTGGGAAGATCCCCTGGAGAAGGGAAAGGCTACCCACTCCAGTATTCTGGCCTGGAGAATTCCATGGACTATACAGTCCATGGGGTCACAAAGAGTCCATAAGCCTCTTATCCTTATACATCAGAGGGCAGAAAGAATGAAAACCACAACAACAGAAAACTAACCAAACTGATCACATGGACCATAGCCTTGTCTAACTATGAGCCATGCCGCGTAGGGCCACCCAAGACAGATGGGTCATGGTGGAGAGTTCTGACAAAACGTGGTCCACTGGAGAAGGGAATGGCAAACCACTTCAGTATTCTTGCCTTGGGAACCCCATGAACAGTATGAAAAGGGAAAAAGATAGGACACTGAAAGATGAACTCCCCAAGTCGGTAGGTGCCCAATATGCTACAAGAGGAGAATGGAGAAATAACTCCAGAAAGAATGAAGAGACGGAGCCAAAGCAAAAACAACACTCAGTTGTGGATGTGACTGGTAATGGAAGTAAATCCTGATGTTGGAAAGAGCAACACTGCAATGGAACCTGGAATGTTAGATCCATAAATCAAGGTAAATTGGAAGTGGTCAAACAGGAGATGGCAAAAAAAAACACAAAAAACAGGAGATGGCAAGAGTGAAGATAGACACTTTATGAATCAGTGAACTAAAATGGACTGGAATTTGGTGAATTTAATTCAAATGACCATTATATCTACTACTGTGGCCAGGAATCCCTTAGAAGAAATGGTGTAGCCCTCATTCAACAAAAGAGTCAACAAAAGAGTCTGAAATGCAGCACTTGGATGCAGTCTCAAAAATGACAGAATGATCTCTGTTCATTTCCAAGGCAAACCATTCAATATCATGGTAATCCAAGTCTATGCCCTGACCAGTAACGCTGAAGAAGCTGAAGTTGAACGATTCTATGAAGACCTACAAGACCTTCCGGAACTAACACTCAAAAAAGATGTCCTTTTCATTATAGGGGACTGGAATGCAAAGTAGCTAGTCAAGAGATACCTGGAGTAACAGGAGAATTTGGTCTTGGAGTACAGAATGAAGCAGAGCAAAGGCGAACAGTTTTGCCAAGAGAAAGCACTGGTCATAGCAAACATCCTCTTCCAACAACGCAAGAGAAGACTCTGCACATGAACATCACCAGATGGTCGATACCAAAATCACACTGATTAACAGATTCAAGGAATTAGATCTGATACACAGAGTGCCTGAAGAACTATGGATGGAAGTTTGTGACACTGTACAGGAGGCAGTGATCAAGACCATCCTCAAGAAAAAGAAATGCAAAAAGGCAAAACAGTTGTCTGAGGAGGCCTTACAAATAGCTGTGAAAAGAAGAGAGGCTAAATGCAAAGGAGAAAAGAAAAGATATACCCATTTGAACACAGAGTTCCAAAGAATAGCAAGGAGAGATGAGAAAGCCTTCCTCAGTGATCAGTGCAAAGAAACAGAGGAAAACAATAGAAGAGCAAAGACTAGAGATCTCTTCCAGAAAATTAGAGCTACCAAGGGAACATTTCACGCAAAGATGGGCACAATAAAGGACAGAAATGGTATAGACCTAATAGAAGCAGAAGATATTAAGAAGAGGTGGCAAGAATACACAGAAGTACTATACAAAAAAGATCTTCATGACCCAGATAATCACGATGGTGTGATCACTCACCTAGAGCCAGACATCCTGGACTGTGAAGTCAACTGGGCCTTAGAAAGCTTCACTACGAACAAAGCTAGTGGAGGTGATAGAATTCCAGTTTAGCTACTTCAAACCCTAAAAGATGATGCTGTGAAAGTGTTGCATTCAATATGCCAGAAAATTTGAAAAACTCAGCAGTGCCCACAGAACTGGAAAAGGTCAGTTTTCATTCCAATCCCAAAGAAAGGCAATGCCAAAGAATGTTCCAACTACCATACAATTGCACTCATCTCACACACTAGCAAAGTAATGCTCAAAACTCCTCCAAGCCAGGCTTTAACAGTACGTGAATCGTGAACTTACAGATGTTCAAGTTGGATTTAGAAAAGACAGAGGAACCAGAGATCAAATTGCCAACATCTGCTGGATCACAGAAAAAGCAAGAGAGTTCCAGAAAAACATCTACTTCTGCTTTATTGACTATGCCAAATCATTTGTGTGGATCACAACAAACTCTGGAAAATTCTTCAAGAGATGGGAATATCAGACCACCTGACCTGCCTCCTGAGAAATCTGTATGCAGGTCAGGAAGCAACAGTTAGAACTGGACATGGAACAACAGACTGGTTCCAAATCAGGAAAGGAGTATGTCAAGGCTGTACACTGTCACCCTGCTTATTTAACTTATATGCAGAGTACATTGTGCGAAATGCCGGGCTGGATGAAGCACAATCTGGAATCAAGACTGCCAAGAAAAGTATCAATAACCTCAGATATGCAGATGACACCATCCTTATGGCAGAAAGTGAAGAGGAACTAAAAAGCCTCTTGATGCAAGTGAAACAGGAGAGTGAAAAAGTTGGCTTAAAGCTTAACATCCAGAAAACTAAGATCATGGCATCCAGTCCCATCACTTCATGGCAAATAGATGGGGAAACAGCGGAAACAGTGTCAGACTTTATTTTTGGGGGCCCCAAAATCACTGCAGATGGTGACTGCAGCCATGAAATTAAAAGACGCTTGCTCCTTGGAAGAAAAGCTATGACCAACCTAGACAGCATATTAAAAAGCAGAGACATTATTTTGCCAACAAAGGTCCGTCTAGTCAAGGCTATGGTTTTTCCAGTGGTCATGTATGGATGTGAGAGTTGGACTATAAAGAAAGCTGAGAGCCTAAGAATTGATGCTTTTGAACTGTGGTGTTGGAGAAGACTTGAGAGTCCCTGGACTGCAAGGAGATCCAACCAGTCCATCC